CAATTTCACAAACCACTCCATGTGGCGCTCAATGGCGCCCAAACAGGGACTTTGTAAGAAGCCGATCAGCGGTTACACTATCTTTGAGCAAGCGAGCTCCCGGCCCCAGTCATACCCCGCCTAATGCCGTGCGCGCGCGCCGCAGGGCTTGGGCCACGTGGAGGAGAAGCCGCAGACGCCGTGCGCGCGGCGCCGGGACACGCGCAGCACCGAGCGGCTGCCGCCCGTCCCCGCCCCCGCGCCCGCGCCCGCGCACCGCGCCGCCGCGCGCGCGCTCAAGTGACGCGGCCACACCTTTTGTGTTTTGTTTTAATAAAAGAATTTCTTTTCTAAATGGCTGTGGAGTTACTCTATTTGAGGTGCCATGGTATCCTCGTTTGTCTCAATTAAAACCCTCACTTCCTACATATTTAGGTTTGCACTTGAACATTACACTTTTTTTACACTTTCTACAAGATTTTGTACATGCAATGTGCGTGCTTCGTCAGATGTCTATTACATGCCTTTGTCGTTGGAAATCAGGCATGCGTAAAAAGCCATGTAATATACTTAAAATATTAAATTATAAACCACAAAACATTAGCCCATTATGAAACAGGCAAGTGAACTTTGTCATAACACGACTGCAGACAGCCCTTACATTAAACATTAGAATAGATGGCATGGAGACAGACTGACCTGTAAATGTATTTTGTTTTCTATGTTTGGTTACGTAGTATTACTGTAACACACAAATTTCAGGAGAGCATAAAGCCAGATACCATGACACCTGTACTTTAGAACCGTTTAAGTTTAGCCCCTCGCATTCCCTCTGGCTCTGCAGCGACTACGACTCGGATGTCCTAGGGTTCGAGTACCGACGGTGCCGAATTTTTGACACTAGCTAGGCAGCTACGTCGAGACTCTGGAGTCTGGAGAAGAATTCTAACGACCGGCTGTTCTGATTGGTAGTTTGAGGTTTCTCCGATAAATACCAAAAGAATAGTGAAAAAGCACTTCAACACACTGTCCCCGAACAACGCGCGATGTAAGAGACTACTGTTTGGCATTGGACCAAAAACATACAATGCAACCCCTCGCATTCCTACCCCTAGGAAAATAATAGGTACATACTTAAGGTAATTCAGTTGTTTTTCTTTTATTTATTTAATAATTAAAAATTCATTATAAGCTCATATTAAAGAGGTACTATTAATTGCTGCTCACGCGAAGTCAATGTATTCACATTCTACGGCGTAGAGGACTACACTTGTGAACTCGCCGAATTCGACGTTCAAACTATGCAGGGGTAATCAAGTCTCGTGCCATCCCGCTGATAACCATAATGCTATCACAAATTGCCGTGAAATGCAGGCATCAGTGAACGGCAGACATTTACACATTAAACACTCACATTACAGTTCAACATCACATAAGTGTTCCTTAATAATCAAACGTTCAAAAAATATTTCCTTCCTTAGGGAGGGAAAGTAAAGCCGGTTGTCCCATGTTAGTATATTTACTGCATGTTAAAGATCCTCAAGCCTAAATGAAGTCTCTGAGCTAAATTCAAATCGCCGGTTTCGTCGCCCAAGAAATATTTATTTTTCCCGTTAGTTGATGAAAGGAGTGCAGCGAAATTTTGGTGATCAGAAGATCAGGCCTCGTGGCCTGAATGTCGACACGTATAATAAGGCAACAATTCAATTCAATTCAATTCAATTCAATTCAAATCTGGAGTTCGTTTGCCGATGTAAATAAGTTTCCGAAAACTCGGGAACAAAAATGTCTAGTTTCTAAAAATTTTGCTAATCTCGCGCCTTTTTTAAAATTTTATTATTTTTATTTTTATTCATTTGTCAACTTTTATTCATCTTTGAATGATGGAAAGGGTTTCAGGAAATCAAGAAAACGTGCGCAGTTGATTTTCTCCCCCATACGTCAAATGCAGTTTTCAATGATTTTTTATTAAATAAATCAAAATTTAAAAATATGTACCGCTGACTCAAAAGCTTCGCTATTTATGGAGACTTCAGAATATCGGCATACAACCGATAACATGTCCACGTCAGGATTAATTCGAAAACACTCAATGCATGCAATTCAAGTGTTGGAATTACCATTTTTATGCGTAGACAAATGCAGAATGGAGTAATACTGGACAGCTGCAGAGTAGTGAGAGAGTCTCTGCGAGATCGACCAAGCCTAAACCAGCAATGCTCAGGTGAATGGTCCTGCACGTAGCTCAGAGTGAAAAATTCCGATAACAATAATAATAATAATAATAATAATAATAATAATAATTTATTTAGTTCACGGGATTAGACACAGTATAAACAACTAAACAATGTTTTCCGACGTTTCGGAATATATTAATTCCATCATCAGGGCTAGTGAAAAAAAAGGCATGAAGACATCAATATGAATATACAATACACAAAACGTCAAGCTTTTCACGGGACGGATAAACAGGCGATACGTTGCGTTGCGAATGCAACCCTTGCATTCGTATCACCAGGTAATACGCTCGGGACTCCCTCACAATTACGGACGGTCAACGCCCCGGCGCGGCAGGGGGTCCTGTGATTGCGCCTCACCTTAGGCCCCGCCCACGTGTGGTCAAGAGGATGGACGGTGTGGTCAAAAGTACAGACGGTGTGGTCAAGAGGATGGACGGTGTGGTCAAAAGTACAGACGGTGTGATCAAAAGGACAGACGGTGTGGTCAAGAGGATGGACGGTGTGGTCAAAAGTACAGACGGTGTGGTCAAAAGGACAGACGGTGTGGTCAAGAGGATGGACAGTGTGGTCAAAAGTACAGACGGTGAGGTCAAAAGGACAGACGGTGTGGTCAGGATGGAAGGTGTGGTCAAAAGGTTGGGCGATGTGGTCAAGAGGACGAACGGTGTGGTCAAGACGACGGACAATTGTGGCCAAGAGGACAGACAGAATGTGTGTTTGAATGTAAAATATGTGATGTAGAAATCAATCCTGACATCACTTTTTAAGCTTTTTACGTAAAGGGAAATAGTTAATGCCATCAATTTTCAAAGTGTCAAAGAGAATGTGGAAATGTTCTTTAACGAGTCTGAAATTAATGTTGGACTTTTAGAAGTAACTAAAGATTCACCTTCCCGGGGCGATGCATCGATCTTGATGGATGGCAAGAGCTTTTCTAAGTTTAAAAATGTTTCTGCTACGATCAGAACTTCAACTATCTAGTATAATTAAAAATTCCTTTAAAATGTCTCTGTTGAGTGTAACTGTTAATGTCAAACCGTAGCCTTAGTATAGTGCAGCTGTAATAGCTCGTTATCAAGATATCTGTTTGTTAAAATTTCTAAAATCGCATGAAATGATTGATTACACAATTTCGAAATCAGTTGTTTAAAACAATTCGATACCGCAAGTGGTATTTTTTAAAAGAATTGTCATTCTTTAAAGATGAAGTAGACGTACATATCAAAATGGTAGCAAATGTAGCCTCAGAGAATCTATATATGGAAGACTGATGTAATCCTTTTTGTGGAGAATTGGATGTAAAATAATATAGTAAGCGCAATTGTATCCCGATTACCATTCTTTAATTGATTAGTAATTTATTAATATGCAACACATCTCTTAATTCAATTTATTCTTCATTTAAATGAATACAATAGATGAATTTCTGTCAACCAAAGTATCTGTTCTCATGCCTGAAGATGGATACTGGTATTATTCAAGAATATCCTTCGACCTAGGCATTCAACGCTTCATATTTGCAATCTCAACGGTTGAAAGCTGTAATGACTGCGCTGAAAGATCTGTTGAGTTAATGCGAGATTTACATGTAGATGAGGAGCGAAAGAAATTTCTGTTGTGTTGTTCACAAACATCGTTCATTGTACCCATATTGCAAGAAAGAAAGTCTAAAGAGTGAAATGAATTAAAATGTATATAATTTTATATTAAACAAGTATCAACAGTTTTCAGTTTGACTGAAGACAACAAAACCAATTATACCTAACTTTCAAATATCGCGCTTAAGTCGACACGGGTTAATATCAGCCTCTTGGGATGAAATTTTATTTTAGAGTAAATATGTCTGAATGTAAGACATTCAAGACGTTTCAAACATAGATTTAATTCTTTATTTAACGTCCAATACAGTAAAAAATATGTGCGACGTACTGTGGAAAGGAGTGTATTCCGTAAACACCTTCATTTCTGGCGTCACTCCTCTAACTTACATACAAGATGAATTGTGAATACCGATGGAAACGTTTTTGGCAAGAATGGATAAGAAAATATTTGCTTTCGTGTATTAAAAACTATTTGCAAAGAGTAGTCAGCTGCAGATTGTGGCTAATATCATTCATGGTACCCTTCGATAGGAAATCGATTTCCTGCCGCGAGAAGATGGCTCCAAGGATCAGGAAAACTGAACGAAAATCCTAATCGAGATTGGGATTATTGAGCCTGAAGTTGTGGTACAGTATTTGTTGCAGGATGTTTAGAATTATACAGTCCAAATGGTAACTAATACATTAATATTAATAAAATCAATATTCCTTTGCTCTTTGATGCTCGTTTTTTGATGCTGTGTATACCGTCATGCAGCAGAAAAGATTTTACTTGGCTGTTAAAAACTTGTGATTTTAATCACTTTATTTCATCTGGCAATGAGTTGTAAAACTGTGTACAGCTATTGCATGCCGTGAGCTGCTGATTCCGACATCTCATCACTACGTGGTAGTGATTAGAACTTTCTATGAGAGCATGAAATGTGTACTGAGATGCCTTTTCAAAAACCACAATAAATTAGCATAATTTCAATATATGCGTATGTGACTGTTTCAACTGAGATTGACCACACAAGTTTGTTTGTTATTGTTGGCTTTTTTGTTGTTTTTTATTTATTTATTTTTTTATTTGCAAAAAATGTGAAACTTAGGAAAAATGATAGTTGTAGGCAAGAAAGAAAATGAACATTTGTGGAGCTTATAGGTTATTTTGTGCCACATATACTCTCTCATACGAAAAATGGTGACGAAAATGAACCACCTGAAAAGATACGAAAGGTATGTCCAGTATGCGTCAATTAAACCTTAGGATATAGGAGATTCGTCTCCTGGCTTGAAAAGTCTAAAGAGCTAAACATAAGGAACTAGTGGTGCTACAGAATGGCACAGACTTTCGCGTACCAGTTAATGTTCACTTTCTTGGTCTGGGCTAGCTTTTCGGTCGTGCCCCATCTTCTTGCCAACTGCCACCTATCGCCGCCCAAATATGTTTTTCACATCTGCTCAATATTACGGTTTCCTAATGGTATAACCGAAACATTACTTTAACAATATTATAGAAGAGTAAAATCTTGTGCTATAGAGAAATTTTTGGCGCCGTCTTTAAAGAAACTGAAGTTTAAGCGTTACTGAAAATACGAAATTTGAAGCTATTGAAGAACAGAAAACTATTGAGTAGCCGAAAATCTTTATTGGAAGTAATTTGAAGCACTTTTACTCAAAAATGTAATAATATATACAAATTGCTGGAATTTGGCATATTAAAAACCTGAGAGACAAAAAAAATAATTTGAGTCATTTTTTAAAAAAACAAAAGAACACGGCAAAATTAATTGTATATCATCTTAAATAGTGTAATTAGCACGATACGTATGAGAAGTTTGAAAAAAAATTAGACCTGTTTTGGAGAAAGTGGCATTTCAGCGTTTCTGAAAATGGAGAGGGAGAGACGAAGAGTGAGAGGGAGAGACGAAGAGAGAGAGGGAGAGACGAAGAGAAAGGCAGAGAGACGAAGAGATAGGCAGAGAGAGAAACAGGGAGAGCGAAAGGGTGTCGGAGAGAATGGCGAACAGAGGGAGAGACGAAGAGGGAGAGAAGGAGAGACAGGCCGTGGGAAAGAGGGAGAGTGACGGTTAGGATGGGCAAAACGCCGGCCGGGTTAATAAATAAATAAATAAATAAATAAATAAATAAATAAATAAATAAATAAATAAATAAATAAATAAATTGTAGGTAATATATCAGTTAATTAAGTATTAAGAAGTAGGAAAGGGGAGGTAATTTCGTGTACAACTGCTGTGATAAACTCTAATTGTGAACTCCCGCTCAAGTAATGACAATAAGCGTGATTGGCACAGAGGTAGACGTGGAAGAGGTGATATGGAATGGGAGCGTCACAGTCGGTTGAAATGCTGATGAAGATGTAAAAACGAATACCATTGATAATTCTCAATTCACAACCAGCTCCTTTTTAAGAAATTTTGTTCTAAAACAACCTTTGCTCGTAGCCCGGATAGCTCAGTCGGTAGAGCATTAGGCTTTTAACCTAAGGGTCCAGGGTTCGAGTCCCTGTTCGGGCGTAGTTTTTTTCTACCTCCTGTCTTCTCGTTATATTTTGCCACATCGCGCACGTTTACATAAATATAGAACTATTTAAGGAAGTAACGTCTCTTCGGATGAAAAGATACAAAATGAAACAAGTTGCAGAATACTAGTTTGATTAATATGACTTTACAGTAGCTTACCATCGGCCCTGTGGCGCAACGGATAACGCGTCTGACTACGGATCAGAAGATTCCAGGTTCGAATCCTGGCAGGGTCGGAATCTTTTTCTTTTGTCATTGATTGTGTTCTACTAATATGATAGTACGACTGAAATCATCTGCCCAATTCATATCTTTATTGAAGTTTTTTAAGAGATAGTTTATAGCGAGAGTACGGTGCCGGGAGTAGTTCCGTAAACGGGAACACCTAGATCTGGCCTAGAAGCAGGTAGAGTGCGGACGTCCTGACACGTGGCTAGTACTTGTATATTGAAGGTAATGAAAACTTTATATATGATGAGACTTATGTAATATTGTTGGTTAAATTTACTTTAACTGTTGCAGTTACATATCTTTACAATTTCGAATGAAAATGCTCTGGAAAAATTCATGCGTACTTCTTCCTCGCCGCGCACTGGGAAAATTCTGCAGAATTTGGTTGACACAAACTGATACTTTATCACAACAATTAATGAGAAACCCTCATTCGATCCTTCGCATTCTTAGCCGAGAAAATAGTGTTCTTACTTTGAAACGGTTGTCGTGTGAGCGCGTTAATAGCTGTACTATTTATACTCCTGTTAAGCGGTGGGTTCAATTAAACAAAAATTATGTTTAAGTATTAATATAAACTTTATGGTATAATTTACCGCTTGCACCAGCATTTCGGTTCCACTGAAACTAGAATACTTTCAATAACGCTTACTCATTTTCAATATAACCTCAATTTTTTGTTACATACATATATAAAGTTTCATACATATATAAAGTTTTAAACTGCTGTTTATTGGTGTGTTTCAGATACAGTAGATCTTCGGGAATGACGGACAGGAAGCATTTCATTTTGCCAAATGACCAGCCTGTTGTGGAATTAGATTGTAGATCAGCATTCAAAGACTTATTAAAAAAGGAGAAACTTTATGCACATTACTTAAGTAAAGCATCTTGGGATGGAAGTCTCATAGTCCTAATACAGGTGTGAATTTTGACTTTTTCTCAACCTGTCTTGTTAGAATAAAAATAAAATACTCAATAAGATTGTGGTGTCAAATATATGTAAAACACTACTTTTCAGACATCTCCAGAATCACCAATAATATTCATTCTCTTACGGAAACTATTTGCTCACCAATCTATTGAAGAACTAAAACAACTTTCTCTCAGTAAGGCAGGATTAACAGAAGAAGAATTTCAGGTGTGCATTGCAAATTTCATTAACAAATCATAAATTCAATTTCTAATGTAGCTATTTTTTTACAATGACATTATAAACTTAGGAGATTGAAGAGTTGAATGAAATCTATGTTTTTAGGCATTGTTAGTTTATACCAGTGGGATTTTCACAAATATGGGCAACTATAAAGGATTTGGTGATAGTAAAATTATTCCGAATCTTTCTGAAGAAAAATTTGAAGCTGTTATTAAGGCTAGTCAAGCATACCAGGATCAACCTAAAGAAATAGAATATATTTGGTCATTGTGTAAAAATAAAATATTCTCCCTCTCAGAGGAGGAAAAGACTCTCAGCTTTCCCGATAAGGTATATATACAAGTTCTCAGATTTATAATATTAACCAACACAGCTTTGTGACAATTTTGTTGATCATTTAATTTAAAATATTTTTCAGGGAGTTACGACATACTTTTCCCGGAACTGTACCCTGGAAGATGCTGAATTGGTAAATGAGTTCTTGAAGAATAAGAAAATGGAAGCTTACAACAGTCGAGTATTTAAAACAGTAGATAATGGAACCCGTGTATTTGAGGTATGTTTAAATCTCATAAAAAAATAATAAGTTAAATTGAAGTTTAAATTATTTAAATGGTCTAATGATAATAATAATAATAATAATAATAATAATAATAATAATAATAATAATAATAATAATAATAAAATTAATATAAAAATAATAAAAAATTTAAAAAATAATTAAACCTGAGGTGATCACAAAATGTATGTAAAGATAAGTGTGTGGTAATAAGTATATCTTAATAGTCAATACTGAAATTGAAAATATTTCATTGTTTAAATATCCAGGGACTATTGGTAATACAGTGATATTGATAAAGAAGTAAAGCAATAAATATAAGCAGTTAGTAGCGCATATTACATGTATAAGAATACTTTTAACAACAAATTACTATTTTGCAGCTGTATACTATAAATTGCTGTTATATACTACAATTTATTATAAAGCCAGTAGTGACATATGGGAGTGAAACATGGATGTTAAAAGCAAATTAGAAAAACAGATAGCAATATTTAAGAGAAGAATAGTCAAGAAAATGTTTGATCCCACTTAGATGAACAAATGTGGAAAAGAAAAACAAATGATGAGTAAGAGGTTTTGATAAGAAATGAGTACATTGTAAGAGACGTAAAATCCAAAAAATAGGCTGGTTGTGATATCTAGAAAGGATGGATTCTAAAAGAACCAAGTAAACCATGAATTGGAAACTTATAACAACTTGTAATGAAGGAAAGCCATGAATCAATTGGGAAGATGATGTACGTCAGGACCTAAAAACTGAGTTAAGAATTGGAAGAGGCAAGCAAGAGATAGGAAGGCGTGGAGAAGGATAATTGGAAAGTTGAAGATCCTCATTGGGTTATAGTGCCAAATGAAGAAAAAGGTTTAAATTATTTTCCTCAAATTTCCCTAAATTGAGGCCAGTTCATTGCTTGCCATCATTTTAATTAATAAAATATAGAAATTTATTAATTTCGAAAGCGTGCATTTGCATATCATGTGAATAATTGAGCATAGGAAATTCAAAGTAGCTTTGGAGTTTTAGAACTATCAAGGCAAAATTAGATTTAAGAAGTTCACTAGGTCTTTTAACAAGTGGCACATCAATTAACCTGTATAATAGTTTCAATATAAACATGCAATATTCTTTGCTAAAAAAATATCAAAAAATAAATATTCTCATAAATTATTATAAATTAATAAAATTTAAAATTTACAACATAAAAAGTTACACATTTAATTTTAACATAAAAAATAATGGAATATCGTATATTGATCTGGCAGTGTTGCTTATTTAATGCTAATTAAATATTATATCTTATTGTAAATATAGAAATGCAAGGAATATTGTTCATCCAAAATTATAACATAAATATTTGACACAGAGTCAGTGTTTGTACCCTTACGTTTAAATTAAAAATTGTTCATAAATTATTTTAAGTAATAATTATGTGCTATAATAAATTCCTAAGTAATAGTTTAAAACTTTATTGAAATAAATTATATAGTAAGTCATACATCTAAAACTACACTATTCTTATAAATATGGATTTAAATCACAGAAATCTAATAAATTAATTTTTTATCATGATTTTTGAAAACTATTTGGACAGTGTTTGTTTTAAGTTTTCTTTGTTTAATATTACTTTGCTCTGTTTAGAAGTACTTAAATGTCAAGATGGAAAAGATCATATCTGTAGGTTGGCTACACTCGTAACAGGTGCTTTTTTAAATTGTTTTAAAAGAAGAATTGATGAATGTAAACCTGACTCTGGAAATTACAAAATTCTTGTTTTTATGGCCAAGTTGCCTTGCTCAAAAATCAACATCTATTGCCATCCTCTCCGCACATCCCTCTGCTCCAGCAAACTGATTGATTCTAAACTGATTCCAGCTAAAATAGAGTTCTTTAAAATGATTAAAAATGTACACAAGAAATCACAACTTATACTATGTTCAATCATATGTTGAGAACATATGCTTTGTAGCCAGAGTCAGAATTTACTTGTTGGCCACAAGATGCTGCGTCTTAGGCACAGATGTATTTTTGGATGCCATTCTGCGAATTTTCTGAGGACAAAATACATTTCATTGGCAGCTGTGCCTAAGGCATGGCATCTTGTTGTCAGTCAGATAAATACATTCACTCCTGTATTGTTGTTTCAGATTCGTTTGGCATCTGCTGAGACTGGCTCCCATTCTCCAGTTACTATTCCTGAGGAGACTTTTGAGAAGTGCAAATTCCAAGTCACTAGAGGAGATTACTCTAAGCTCATGCAGCTTGTTGCAGATAATTTGCAGAAAGCAAAAGTAAATTATTGAACACCTACAACTGGATTTTTTTGTGTATTATTAATATCATTGGCTCAATGTTTGTGAGAATTCGTTGCAGTGTCACAAGAAGTTCTTTTTATCTAGCATGTTTTGAAAGAAATATTTTAAATGATTCTAACCGCAAACTATAGAAAGACTGTTCAACTAGAAAAAATTCAGCTAGCTATTTTGTTCCTTCCTCTCAGTAATGTTTTTTGGTGTTCAAGGACTATGCTGCTAATGAAACAGAGAAGAATATGATAGAGCGATATATTAGCAGTTTTACTACTGGATCTTTGCAAGACCATAAGGATGGGTCTCGATTTTGGATTAAAGATGTGGGGCCTGTAATTGAAACGTAAGCATAATATAACTTTTAATATTATTTATTATATATTATTATTATTTATTATACTAAATATTTGGACAGTCATGAACCCATACATTTGATTCCACGAAGAAGTAAGCGTAGTACTTCTGATGATCAGGCAGACACCCTTACAGTCTGAGCCAAGGAGTTAAAAATTGGTTCACATGTATATCTTCATCGCATTGAAAGCTGTAGGTGCTTCAGACAATCTATTTACAGCTACTGATTGTTCATTTCATTCAATTATCCCCTTCGTCCATTTCTATAATGCTAATAAATTTTCTCTATGAAGCATAGTTCATAAGTGAATGAAAGATCTATTTTCCTCTAACATTTACATTTTGTAGGTACATTGGTTTCATTGAAACATACCGAGATCCAGCAGGCATGCGTGGTGAATTTGAAGGATTTGTTGCTATGGTAAACAAGACAATGTCAGCCAAATTTGCAGATCTAGTCAATCGTGCTGAAGAACTTCTTAAGGCATTGCCATGGCCAGCCTCTTTTGAGAAAGATAAATTTTTGCGACCAGACTTCACTTCTCTAGATGTATTAACCTTCTCTGGCAGCGGAATTCCAGCTGGGATCAACATTCCAAATTGTGAGTAATATTAAAGCAAAATCTGAGGTAAATGTTAAGATTACAAATACAGTAGAACTGTAATTATCCAGATTACTAATTGGTCTGGATCCAATTCGGGTAATCAAATATTCAGGTAATTAGACAAAGGCCATTTCTTTTTTAAAAAAAGCTAAATTTGAGGATATACAATATTAATTCAATAACTATAAAACCATGTTGGTTACATTTAGTACAGTAATGAACATAAACATACATATGTTACATAAAGTATCAGTTGTTGAACACAACAGTCAGTTATTTTGCTGTCTTAAATCATTGTAGTGGAGCAATGTCTCGTATCCGCGTAATGGTGAGCATCTGCAGGCTATATAGTCACACTTCGGTTGTATTAATTTTCATTGGAGGATAAATCAGTATTTGGTATGAATATAACCGGTGAAAGATGTCCATAAAAAATATGTAATTTTTCTTACCTAATTTGTACACATTGTCTGATCCTGATATACAGTTCAATATCTATCCTACATGGAAAATGCTAAAATTCAATTACAACTTGATCAATTATGGTTACAAGTATTTCTGTTTATTTTAGATGATGAAATTCGTCAATCTGAAGGATTTAAAAATGTTTCTCTGGGAAATGTAATTCCTGCTAATTATAAAGATGCAGTTCTTCCATTTTTAACATCTGAAGATCAGGATTTAATAAATAAATATAGAGTTCCTTCATTTGAAGTGAGTATCTATTGTATTTAAGAACTTCTATTTAATATGTTAAATGAATTACAGGCTATCAATTTTGTGTACTACTTGTGAAGATGTTAACAAGAAGAAGAATACTTTAATTAGCAATTAATTATTTTTGCAGGTGCAAGTTGGTTTACATGAATTGTTGGGACATGGAAGTGGAAAACTATTTAGAAAAGAAAAAGATGGCTACAACTTTGATATAGAAACTGTGTTGAATCCTTTAACAAAAGAAAAAGTAATAAACAAATAATAGTACTTTTTAATAATGGATGTAAACAAATCAATGAATAGATGTGCATGAAGTTGGAGTTTTTTTGTGATTTTTGCAGATTAATTGCTGGTATGATGCTGGAGAAACATATGATTCAAAATTCACAACAATAAGTTCTAGCTATGAAGAATGTCGAGCTGAAAGCGTAGGACTGTATTTGAGTTTAGACAAAGATGTTGTAAAGTGAGTATTTTATCTTGTGTTGCATGATTGCTTATTTATTTACTTACTTCCTCTAGTGATTTATTGCAAAATCAATAAATTTATACGATTGTACTGAACAATATTAATCTTTCTTATTCTTTTTAATTTTGTGAACAGAGTGTTTGGTTTTGAGGGCACTGAAGCAGATCACGTTATCTATGTGAACTGGTTGAATCTTTTATATGGAGGTTGTGCTAAAGCTCTTGAAATGTACAACCCAACTACAAAGTCTTGGCTTCAAGTAAGTCTTTAAACCACAATTCTAATATAATATCTAATCTAATATCATATCATATCATATCATATCATATCTAATTAAAAATATCAGATTAGAAAAGTTTATACCTAGTGAATGATATTTGTAAATGGCGATGAAAAATAATTTGATTGTTTCTGACATAATAATACTAAGAAATCTAATGTAATGTACTGTGATATTTTAGGCCCATGCTCAGGCTCGCTATGTCATCTTGCAAGTGCTCTTAGAGGCAGGTGAAGATCTTGTTAGTGTTGTGGAAACCGAGCCTGGTCAAGACCTTCTGATTAAATTGGACCGTTCAAAGTTGAATTCTGTTGGAAAGAAAGCCATTGGTGAATTCTTACTCAAGTTGCAGGTATTGAATTATTGGTGATGCATGAACTTTATTTGATATCCATATAAAAGTTAAAATATGATTGAGATCGAATGTTTTGACAGTAATTACAAGCTCACACATGCAATTAGTGATTTCACTCTTTGATGACTCTCTCTACGAAGAGTACATTGTTACAGTTTTTAAGAAGTAATTATAGAAATTATTAAAGCATAGACTGGAGTCAATAGATACTTTGCTGTGCAGGAGTTGCTGCATCATATGCATAATTGCCAATGTTTCAGCTGAAAATAACATTACCTTCTTCATTGCAAAATTTTACCTTCTTCATTGCATTTGTTACTGTATACGGCTGAAACTTGGATAACTATGTCTAGGACGGCATCTCGTAGACACACGTGTCTAAGGAAATTATTGTTTATTTTGTTGAAACTATTATATGATGTAAATACAAAAACAAAAAATAATGTATATCATGTTTTCATTAATTGTATGTTTACTGTGCATTGTATGACACCTATTGAATAGGTTGAGAAGGCACTAAAGATAGTGTAATTTTTTTTATTTATTTATTTTCGTTGTTTGTTTGCTTGGATTTCCTAACTTCTATTGAAAGTTATGTGATGTCAATAAATGTGCAATACAAATGATGTTTTACAGGTATATAAATCTACAGGTGACATAACTGCTGCACAAGCAATGTACAGTAAGTACTCTGAGGTACCAAGTGAAGGCAAACATCCGTGGGCTCGTTGGAGGGACATCATCTTGGCAAAGAAGCAACCCCGAAAAATGCTTGTTCAGGCCAATACCATTCTAGAAAGTAAATATTTTGTTGATAATGATCCTGTGTATGAACTGGCTGGAAAAACATGCTCATTAATGCAAGCTTCAGAAAACTCAGCATCTGACACTAACAAATTTCTTTTTCTCTTACAGATGAAGAGGTCCAATTAAAAAGTTACGAAGCTAATCATTCAGGCCTGATTCAGTCCTATGTTGATCGATACTTGTCTCCAGATTATGATAAGATTTTGCTAGAATTGTATGAAAAGGATAAGGAACATTTTTGAGCCCTTATTCTTCCCTTTTTTGTTTGACACTAACCGAGAGACAATTGGAAAAGCTCTGATTTGAACAGTGTTTGAGCGGAGAGTACAACCACATCAAATCAGTGCATATGAATACATTATTGCAAGTAAATATAATAAAGCATGAAGAATTTTGTATTGAATCATCTCTAAGTCAGTTGTGTAACAATAAATTTTAAGATGTTGTACTTGTGTAACCTACTTGAAATTTATTTGTAAATCCTTCTCCCTGAATGTTCGTTGCTTACTACAACTACAAGGTGCTGGTGAAATATTGATGGAGATATCGAATTTGGAATTTTAACTATCACCAATAACTGTTTACTCATCTTTAAGGTTGCTTATCACAAGGAAAATACTTTAAAGCCATTGATTTTAGAATGCCCTATTGAATTCAAGAAATGTTCTTATTAGATTCAAAAGTCCTATTCAGTAAAGTACTAAAAGAAAAACCTTCCATTTCCAAGAACCAAGTACCAAGAAAAACATTTCACAAATCATGTCTGAAGTTCCTTCCTTTTTCTTAGTCTTACAGAATGAAAAGTTTTAAAAACAATGTATTAAAAAATTGATATACTTTATGATAATCTCTCAGGAGCTGATTTCTATGATTCTGCATGTTATGTCTATTGCTTCAGAACATAGCTAAGTGAAATTTCTTGACATTTGGTTAGAATTGGATGCTATATAGATTAATATGTTAGTGCATATTTGGCCAATATTTCCTGTTAGTATATGTGAGTAATTATAGGAGCATATTTTGCATATTTCGTTGAAATATAGGCTTTTCTGTAATACATTTCATAGAGTCTATTTATTTGTAAGCATCCATTGATTAGAAATCTTGATCTAGATCAATCTTGTTAAACCAGACAGAAAAAATGAAACAAGACTTACAATCTTGGAAAAGGAGAAAATCCCACATCATTTACAGTACAAAGCCTTTTGTGAGAAATCCAGAATAAAAGTACAGCCAGGAAAGGAGAAATTTGACATCAATAACAACTGGCAGTGACCTCAGACAAGGCTATGGTATCACTGAATCTCTTTAACGTCTGTATTAACCTCCTAATAAGGAATTGCGCAAGAAAATGAATCAGGGAATTTTAATCAAAAGAGATAGAAAGATTGACTCAATCCTCTATGCAGATGACAAGGTAATAGTAGCAGAATCCAAAAACAACTTACATAGGGTAATTTTTGAACTATCTAACATTGCATAGGAATATTCCAAGAGAATATCATTAAGCAAAACAAAAGCCATGGAAATGCAAGGAAAGGAACAGAGTTAAAATGAAATATATGGGAAATAGTAAAGCAAGTAAGAGAATTCGCTTACCTAGAAATCAGAATCAATTACCTAAACTACATCAAAGATCATTGGAGAAAATTACAAATATACTGACAGAATGTGTGGAACCATTGAACGATGCTAATGGAAGAGGATATGCCACACAAGGATTTCCTTCCCACAAAATGCTTCTATATGGTTGATATATGGGTAATGAAGAAGATAAAATGCCAGCCAGCACAAATGACATTCCTAAGGCATCTCTTAAGGAAGTCATGAGAAGAGAGGACACGTTGAGAAACAAGAACTATCAAAAAGAAAAACTATTAACCAAAAATCTAACTACAATAGTTGAAGAATCAAAAGAGAAACACATTCGCAGAATGGAGAGTAACCGACAACCAAAACTCATCTAGAAATATAAGCCAATTGGAAACAGCGACAAAGGTAAACTAGGCTATATTACATTTGCGCAAAAGTATATATTTTCATTACAAGAATGCTTCTCTTATATTTTATCAAGAAAGATTTATACAGGAAATGAAATATTGTTAATTTAATTGCATATTGAAGTACATATTTTAGAATTTGTATGGCATAAATGCATGTTTTTACAAGCATATTTCAAAATGTTTTAAGGCATAAAAATCCTCTTCCTAAAAATCTCTGTAACTTATATTATGAGAGAAACAAGAAACATAAATGACACGAATGTTCAATTATAGAAGTGCCACAATCAGTATTAAGAGAATAATAACTGTACTGAAAGATTAAGATAAACTTAACGAGAACACGACCTCATGAGACCAAGCTGTAACTCATTTCCAGCAACTTACATTTTAAGCATTTACTCACATAATATTATACAGACTCCTTATAAGTTTGCACAAAATGAACTGGCATTGCTAACAGATTTTTCACATATGAATACATGAGAAAATCAGTTTGCACACAATTATTGGCCAAAAGGAATGGGAGCACTAAAAAGGTGTGCCCAATAGCAGGGGTTCACTTTGTATGAGAACTTATATCTCTGTATAAAGTTCAGTTCGAAATTGATGAATCCCATGAGTAACTAACTTTTTCTTAAATGCATATTCCCTTTCCTAATTATACAAGTATCAACAATGAATGAGGTTGACTAATGTCAATTATAATCAGGCATTGTTTATCAAGATGAACAATGAATTGTATCTTCAAAGCAAATGTATCTAATACATTGGAGCAATAGAACCATTTATTACTCCACAATTCAACAAACATTTTTCTTCTCTCAAGAACCATTAAATATCTTAAAACAAGAGAACTCAAAAAACAATTAAAAAAAGCCATGTTTTTGTTGCAGGAAATAAAAAAAAAGAATGTAAAGCAAAATATCCAAACTCAATATCAAAATTAGTTTGTTACTTGAAGTGATATTAACCAATTTCAGCAAGGCTTCAAAACTTGGCACTAGAATATATGTGCACTATTGCAGACACTGCGCAAAATCAAATATCAATGTAGAAAGAGCTTCAAATTTGTTAATTCATTATGGCAAACAAAATTACACTATTTTGGTGCACTATCATTAAGAAATTTGAAAAAATAAAAGAAACTGTTTACAAGTCTTTGGAGAAAAGAACACGAGCAAAAGTTTTTACTAATTGGGTGATAGACCCCACGTATTAACTTCATATATTTTCTGTATTGTTAATGCCTACCTACTTGTATAATTTCAGAACCATTAGAAACACTTAATGATCCAAGTTCTGTAAATGTGTTTCACATGGCGATAGGAAATAAATATTAGATCTCATATCCTTTATATGTTATCAAAATATTTCATTTGTACCTCCGTGGAGGATTTTTCCAGGCATTCTAAAAACATTACTGTCCCTCTTGTCACAAATGTCTAAAAACTGCTTTACTTTTATAAGAAATCTACATGGAGCTAGCACATTTCTGAAATCAAAAAATTATCAGTAGTTGCTATTATAATTGGGTGCAGCACTTAAAGATTCTTGAAGAATGTTCTAAAGTTTCTTTTGATTACAGAAATGAACTCCATAAAACTGTCAATACTGAAGTTCTCAGAAGGTATTGGACTGGATTTTAAGTAATTGTATGTCTTTGTACACTGTACCATCTTAACTGATCTCCTTCGCATAGCATGCATGCTTCAATTAAGTTTTATGAATACATACCATGCACTAATGCCCAGAAATGAATTCCCTCGTGTCACTTCAACCACTGTTCTTCATGCATTTTTAAGAACATCTTCATATTTTGAGCACAATGAATAGAAAAGGAGTTTTCTCTTATACCCTCCCAAACAATGCAAAAAATGCTCTAGTTACATTTAGGCAAAGAATTTCCAGCTGACCTGTTCCAAACTAGAAAATGTTCTCAATTATTTTTGTTCGTTTACTATTTTTATCATGTACTTGTTCTTTGATCATAGTGCATTTGGTTCGCTTCTTTTTTTTTGTATTCTATTTACTGCAAAACCAAAAATCTCTGTAAGTTTTTGTTTATTCTGGTACTGCAATTTTTTCTCTATCTTGTTAATTTCCCAAATTACATATATCAACAATTTAAATTAGTTAATCCCACACATTTAAAAGCAGTATATTAAGAAAATGATGTTAATGCTTCCATGCAAGTGAACCCATTACATTGAATTTCATACAGAACTTTTCCTACAACTAATGATAACAATTATAAGTTAAAACATTCACGATGCTTTACTTTGAACATGGGCGCCTTTAGCATGCAGTATTCAGGCAATGCCACATAGCGGACAGACACATTCTCCAGGTGGTATTCGTTTTAACAATCAACTTCAAATCAACCATAAGCCCACACAGTTTGGAATAACCGATTAAAGGAATGTCAAAGATCAGTATCTCAGGAGTAAACATTCAAGACGTCCACTTCACTATTCAATGAAAATATGTAGCACAAATTTTACGTTATTTAAGTTTTAAATCAATAGAGTACTAAATATAAGACCTATTGTAAGAAATCTCCCATTTTTCCTGGAAATAAAATTATAGGTAAAAACAGCAAACCCAATTTTGAAGTGTACATGTCACTGTTAAATGTATGTACATTTCTTAGATTAATAAAGTATCCTCATAGGTAACTTCAGTATTCAGATTTTGTTTTGGAAACTAAGGCATGTGCAGTTTCCTGTCCCCATACAACAGGTTCACATTGAAGTCCAACCCATGACCATTGATTTATTACTTCTAACTGTAAACCTCTGGAATTGGTCAAACACCTGAACTAAAATAACATCACTTTTGGGGCTAATAGAATTACAAATGGGAAGAGAAAAATTTGTATAAAAAACCCTCAAATTTTACAAAACTACATGTGAAGTTTTAATTAAAAGTGAAATAGAATTGAGCTCAAAGATGAACCCTTAAGCTGTTTCAATACATATGAAGAGTAAGATTAAACATGATTCATGCAATTATAGAGAAATATTTGCAGATACCAAAATGCCACAAAAAAAACTATAAACTGGCAAACTAAATGAAGATTTAGTTTTTGAAAGAATGTAACTAATTCCTTTGGTTTTCATTTTCAATACTAAACCAAAGAAAATCTGATCTTATTAGCCAATCAATGCAAATGTGGCCACATCAAATTAATTAGGACAATATGTAATCGATGGCATAGCACACTCCTTAAAAAATCAGATCGTAAGTCTTATTCAAAATCTAGGAGGGCACTAGGTAAATGCAAAATACAGAAATGGAATCACAAAGCAAATCTTTATTTTGCTAATACAAGTTTCATTTGTTGCATACAAAATATCACAGTTTTATTTGTACAAGGTTCACAATTGCAATACCATACACAAGTAGTCTTGCTAAAAATAATATGTAACATCCTTATTGAAAACAATGCATATTTCACATGTCACTTCTAACTGGATGTAAGTTGCAAAAACATTAAGTTTAGAAAAGACCTATATCTTTACTATCTGGCCAGCAACACATGATGGGTTCCATTTCTCTACAGCCTTAATTTCTAGGCGAGCGAATGATCCTCCAACTAGTCCCTTCGCTAAGTGCTCTGGATTCACAAGCACACACCCAAATGCCTCCTAAAAAGGAACAATAAAATTTAATTTTTGTTTCAATACTAAATTTTAATGATTAACATGACTTTAAATAAATTGTTTCTGAATAATTCTTCCAAAACAGTGGAAGTTAAATTCACCATTTTACATTAGAGAAACTTGCCTTTATAAATGCACGTAAATCTGAAGGCAACACCAAGATATGAGGGGTAAACTGAAGATGGCAGTAATCATACCAAAGTTTTGTATCGAGATTGAGCGATTCATTTGGAGGGTACAAAGGATAGAAATTATTTTGCATGAGAATGTGTTTTGCTATGCGTCCTAATCGATCTTGGCTGTAAGCAGCACTGGAACAAAAATCCACATTATTATACTTTTCACACAAAATATACTTTATTTTATGGATTTGAAGTCTCAACTTACTTAACTATTTCTTCATTCCCTATGTGTTTCAGAACATCAACTGATGTCACACCTATCTTCAGACCATCCACATCCAAAACGCAGGGATCACCCAATAAATGCAAGTTGGCATAATTCTTCTTCAATGTATATGCTGGTGTTGGAAAAACTGGATGATGATGGACATCACATGCAGAGGAAACCAAAATGACCTGCATCTGCAACCTGTGATTCATTTAGACATTTGTATTTGTTATTTTCATTTCAAAATATTCAAAATACCTATCTATGTGACCACTAACCCTGCCACAGATTGCATAAGATTGTCCACTTGCTTCTCAAAGAAGGATTCAAAAGTTTCTGCAAGAAGTCCATCTTTTACATGGGTGTGATCAGCACTCACAAAAGGCCCAATAAGAATTGCAACATGTGGTCTATGTTTCTTCAAGTAATCTACAAAATCCTCAAAAGGCTGGTAGGTCATTGTGTCAGTAGGGGTGTAGGGACCCGACACAATTACAACTTGCAACGCACCTGGAAAAGAATTTAATTTCATGAAACACTAGGCACTAATATATTTCTGATCAAGACTGCTTTGACATTGGAAAAGATTTGGAATACAATACAGCCATAATCCAATTATTGGGGATTAAATGTTCAATTTACCGTCTTTAACAGGCAAATGCAAAGGCTCATCTGAAAGGGGCATTGTTGCATCACTGATAATATCCTTGACGACCAATTGTGATCGTGTGGGATTCGTAGCTTTAATAGCCACCACTTGACCCGGAAATAGGGACAGCTTTGGCACTTCCTTCACATCCATAGGCACAATACATGATTTGTGCAAGCCAGGTAAGCTCTCTAGACAAACATTCTTATCCGAAAGACTACTTCCTGTAGTGTAGCAGACTCTCCCACAGCTTTCAAAGACATCCTGTAAAAAATGCAGAGTTAAAACCAGCACAACGATAAAAAGTATCTCACTGAAGAAACCCCAAGACTTCAGTAATTTATTACTACAACTTCGAATCCACATACCATATGTATTTGGCTCATGTCCAGAATATCTGAGATTCCTGCCTTCGAGCACAAAACCTTTGTCAAAAACTTCATGTTGTCTTCATGCAAAGTGGCCCTCTCTCTGAGAGTGTCAAACATGTAGCAGGAGTCAGGGGGCACTGAAGAGACTATCTTGACGGAAGGCAGGTATGGAGTAGAAGAGTACCAATTAGCTTTCTCCGCACTTCCAAAGGTGGCCAAAACAGCACCTGAATTTTTACGTGTAGCATATCGGGCAGATGGAGTGGACCTGCACATAAGTTCATTTTATTTTCTTATGAAATTGGCATTCAAATACTTTTATCCTTTTAAAATTAAAATTTTTAATCTTGACTAAAATAATTAGTAACCAGAATTGCAAATTCTTGCATTGAGATTTCAAATGAGGGAAGTCTTTTAGTAAAAAAAACTAATATGGAAAAGTAAATACTTACACATTTGGGGAGAAGCTAGCGGGAGAGAATATTACTCTGGGGCTGCTCCGATGATCAGGAGTATTTGAAATCTTTTTGTGCGCGTTCTGAAACAAAAGGAACATTATTGATTTAGTTTGACTAACAAATTCCTTTGCCTCTCTTAGACACACAACAACCAGAGCCAGAGTTGCCAAAAGCAGTAGACGAGTATGGATCTAGTCACGCTCAAAATCCGCGCCATTCTAGACCCCAACCCGCCCACCGCCAACGGCAGAAGGCCGCTCCGCTCGTCTTGCACCTGCCGAACCCGCGCAGAACCGTCGCTGCGCCCGCGGCCGTTGATGAGTGTGGATCTAGTCACAGGTATCAAACGCATGTGGGCTAGACCGACACCCACCGGCGGCCGCGGGCCTCCGCATCCCTCCGGCGCGGCAACGCCGCCCACCGCCACCCCCGGCGCACGCGCGCCCCCGGTCACGCATACCGGTGCACGCGACGCGGCGCGGCACGGCCCGCACCGCCTCGACGCCCGGGCCGCGCGCTTGGCAACGCCGCGCCGCCGCCTCGCAAACTGGTTTTCCCCGAGAACAGGAGAAAGAGAAGAAGGACGTGGAGGAGAAGGAGCCGATCTGGCCTCGCAATGGCGGCCCGAGGGGGCACCCGCTGCTTAGGTAATAACGCCGCGCGCCGCAGCCAATTACCTTGGCCTTCGGGGTAGCGCTGTACGATGTCAGGATGTCGTCCTCGCTAGCACAATAGTCAAGGACGTTTCGGAGACTTCAATGGCTGCATCGGAAATAAACCCCTGGTTTTCGTCACCGCGCGACTTTCACCTCAAAATTATTTCCTTCTCGCGTCGTTTTATACCCTCCACGCTCTGAGGCGCTGTTTAACTGGCGTTCTGAAAACGCGAAAGGATACAATGAATCATCCGCGAGGGCGCTGTTGTAGACGACGAGGCTCGCGTTGGACGACGGCGTCAGGGGGACGGATGCCGCCTTTTTCCGGTTTCCGAACTCCGCACGTTCCATCTGATTCAGAGCGTCTACGGTGGGGTCGATGTCCAGGCTCTTGGAGCAACTGTAGGCCATCCATGTTTCCGCCAATTCTTCCTCGTCCACCGAGTACGCAAGGCATAGCTCTTCACCTAAACAAGCACAAATTACCCATCACCTACGTACACCGTATAATAGAACAAAACTTTTTACGATAAAGCGTCCTGATATATTTTGAAATTACAGATTTCGTAAAATAAATTATGATAAAATGATCTATTACTTCATTTTCATCTATCCACATTTAACCCCGTGTCCTGATACATTACACCGTATACACAAATTAAGTTTAAATATTTCGTAAAAACATTACGTGTAAGCATTTTATCAAGACAATTACCATTACTGTTCCCAAATAAAAGTACTACACTGCTGGTTCCTATTCCTTCTGCAACGGTAAAATCTCAGATGAAGCATTGTCAGCCAAATAATTTCCAATTGGCGTCATAATGAAATATATTTCACTTTATTGTTAAGGTCAATTACAATCAATTATCAAAAAGTTATCTTGCCATAATTAGGAAACAATTACGGTAGATCTGGAGAAAAGCAGACCCCCTAGTGCGACGCCCTCTGCAGTTATAAATCTCCGTTTCGTAAAGTATTAAGTCTCTGCAAAAATTTCCACATGGTGATCACTGCATTGCACATCCAAGCAGTTTTCGTCTCCAAAGCCAATTAATTACCCACGCGTTTTTGGGTATAAGAGATACGCGGTGGACCCAAGCGTGGGTCAGGGGTTCGCGCCTCCGCACTGCTCCATAAACTTCCCTCCTGGAAAGTGCTTCTGAAAGGGGGGAGTACAGCCTTTACTTATTTCTTAAAAAATGCAAGTACGTACTCACTGCATAGTATAAGTCCGGGACGGGGGGGGGGCAGTTATACTCCCCATTAGCAAAATTTCGATTGTAACTTCTAATGTGCACATACAAAACTGTGCATACATACTCCGGAGCTCCAAACTTGCAAGATAATTAACTCTCCAAGAAACTTTCAAAGAGGTCAATGAACAAGCCCCTAGGACAACGCGAAAGGGCCATTTTGGACTTGCCCTTCATATAGAAAAATCTTACTCAGTACAATAATAAATAATTTGCCGAAAGTTCCACCACACTATGTTTAAGGAAGGCTGGTTATAATTGCAACAAATTTGCAAGTAATCTTTATTAGCACATCAACTGTAATCATTTATAAAGTAAATTCACTCATAACTATCAAAATATGTTGATCTCTGGCCTGATTATTCCATGCTGAAACTATCATTAAACGATTTTCCAACGTACGACGCCTTAAGTCGAAAAATTATAATTTCAATATCAATGTTTTTTTTAGAAAACAATTTACATGTTTCGATAATCGCTATTTTTATAAGTGTTAATTAACGACATAAAATATTTGATTTTGCACTCCTTACGAATGCAAAAACCAAACTCTTAACTTACTAGAAATAATAAGCAATTCATCTCCTGTGGGCGAACAACGCGATAGAATAACATGGCATCATTCAAGAATTTCGATTCCCGCCAGTTTTGCAACCATGCTCCACGTTCCATTAGCTTTGGATTACATATCCAACTCATTACAAAACTCACTTCGCCTAATACCTCACCGAAAGAGAAGAATCGGCCAATTTAATAATGAATTTGTTAATCCTGGTTGAAAATTAAACCTAGGCCGGTGAAATTTTACTCCCTACTCGTGTGTTTGGGACAATAAAGATACTAATTACCAACTTTTGGCGAAAAGTACACGAAAAATAATCAAGAACGCAATCTACTCACATTTGTGTAGGGTAACATCAGTTAACGAAGCCCCCATATTAGAAAAATGCTCCTTCAATTCATCACGAGACACCATCTTGCCCGCGCTTCGCGCCACATAAAACCCCGCCAAACAACACAAAGGCAAGGGAGACTTTGACCTTGAACGTCTATTGGTTATGATCTGGCAAACTACCGAGACAATACATTGAAATTCAGCATTCTATTACAATTCTTACCTGAAAATAAACGTTGAAATGTTAGATATTCTAGAAATCTCGTCCAAAACGCACTTAATATGATACTTCATGCACTACAATTTGCACAAGAACCCGCCAAACCGGCAGCACAGCAAACGTGTTATCTCGAAACCACGCTAGCGCAGCGCCTATGTTCGTTGTGGTATTTCCTGAAACTACCCGAACAAATGGGGGAGGGGGAAGTTGAGAGACTGCAAGCGCAACCGAATTCCTTTAAAATATTTTGGACTTTTGTAAAAAATCTTTGAGTTATCATGTAATATTTCTAATAATTTGTTAATTTTATTAAGGATTTTCAAAATCCTTTTCTTGTATTTGATTAATTGCCTTAGGTTTGTAGAACAGAGAACAGCATCGAACGTGAAGATGACTGATTAACATAATTGCTAACAGATGGCGTGTGTGTATTCCTTATTCATTAGGTCCAGATTAAGTCTCAAAAAAATTCAGAAAGTAGTTTCGAAATTCTGAACGTTATTTTTACCAATTCCCGTTTTTCATGTTTTTAGAATATGTTGTCGTTTTAAAACGTATCAGTATATTAAATGTTAAGTTTCTCCAGTTTTCTGCACATTTTATTATGAAAATTTCTACAACTATATGTGAATTGATATGTACTACAGTTATTCGTCCTTCGTCATTTCTATATTATAAAATAAAATAGTTAAATATAAGCCTGTCTTTAAATACCTCCCAAGCGCAATGCGAACAAAATAATTCTGGGTATTAAAAGTTTAATTTTATACCGTTTCAAAAGCTATACTGCGGGAAAATATAACATTACAATGCGCCTTTTGACGCAATGTGTCCATTATTCAAAGATTTTTTAAGAATGCGCAAATATAAAGACAACTTCCTTTATAAATAAAAACTTTTTAATGAAAGTTATTCGAACATCTTCAACTGGAAGTTTTTTAAGGTAACTTATCCCCAAGCTCACAAGGAATTTTTAATTACCAGTAATTTCTTTATGCTTATTTTTAATGTGTACTGTATTAACTGAATGGTCATTTTTTGTCAACCCTTCCAATTAATCATGTCAACAAAAAGTTTTTCTTATTATTTTTTGTACCTACTGTTTTAATGATCCTCATTTATGTTAGTAACCCATTTCAAATTCGAAATGTATTTTACTATCTATCCTTATGAAGTACATCTAAGTTCTTTTAATTCAGAAATATCAAAAAATGCTTGAATTGACAATACACCTTACAATAAACTTTTGAGTTTGTTGGTGATAGATGGACATGATTGTTTCCCCTTGTGTTAAACAGATGTACAAGTTTTGAATAGGCCTATATATGGCATGACTAGGTTTGAATGGACTCCTTTAAACTTTTCCTACCTTGGTTGTTAAGAAACATTTGGACTTCATGTAAGAAAATTCTGCAGAGTGAAGGTTTTACACTTGTCATTGCTATATAAATGTAGGCATCATTGTTATATGTTTCTTTACAAACATAAGGACTTCATATATTAATATACAAGGTAATGGATTTATGTCAAGTTTTTGGAATGGGTGGTCTACAGGAATTTGTTCTTTTAATATTTTTTATTGTCCAGATGATTCCTTTTTGTAGTTTAAATGTTTGCTTGGACTATTATTATTTGAGGAATTTATTTGAGAAATTTCCAAAGTACAATGTTCAAACTGTTTTAATGGTACCTACTTTTCCTTGGCATTTCTCTATGAGTAAGTGGCTTGCACTTTGTATTTTATTTTGTTATATTTTTGGTAAAGTCACAGAACTATTTGCTTTCTATATGAAGATATGATTTGATCTTTTTGTTGGCAATTTCTTGAATTCAATAAGATTCAAATTTTGACCAGTACTAAATTCTAACATTGTGATGCCTCATGATTTACAAATTAGTGGGTTTGGAAAAAAATGGCTAACTGAAGGATGGGTAGTTCTTTCCAATCAATACAGTCATCTATAACAATCGATGTAGTAATCACATTGATTATGTATCAGTATCGACAGCTCACTAACAAAAATTCACATACAATACATATACTACATTATTTTACAACACACAGATGACATTAAACAATTAAAATCTATACACAATTTATGTGTCAAGAAAAATTTGTTTCTGCTGCGTAACTCTTTCAGTAGAACTTAAAATAATAGTGAGCATTAAAAAGGAAAATAATGTTGATTTGAACAGCGAAATTTAATGTATTAGTTACAGTTTAAAAAAATTGGATTGAATAATTCTAAAAGACTAATCATGTCTGTAACGAGTATTGATCCATAGCTTCTGGGACAAAGATACCCATCTCAATCAGATTTTTCATTCAGTTTTCCTGATTCTTTCAACAAAAGCTCAGGTGGCTCTTTGTTTTGCTTCGTGACATAAATGAAGCTTCACTAGCAGTGTCCATTTTTTTGAGCTCTATGGGGATACAGAAAATGGAAAACAATTATTTGAATATCTACATGATATTTTCATAAAAAAATCATTATCCATTTTTTCCTGCAGTAAGTTGATTCCTTCACTTGTATCACTAGGAATAATATCCGAAATCTGTAGCTGATTTGCCTTTGCAAATAGTTTTTATTACATCAGTGCAAATATTTTCATACCAATTCTAGTCAAAAATGCTTATTGCTATTTGTATTCATAATTCAACTTAATATGTATATGTGCCAGGCCAGAGATCCCCCAGCTCAAGAAACTGCACAGATTACATTTTCTCCAAAGGACATCACTCGGTTTTTAACTTTTTGATGTTAAATAAATTAAAATATTAAAAATAGACTACATTATTTTGTAATCTATTACTTCAAAGGGTTTGCCAGATCAAGGAGGAAACCAGTAGGTATTTATTGTTTGCTTCAATACCAGGAGGAGTTCATTTACAAAGGTAAATAAGCCTGTTTCATTTCATGTTTTTCCCTGAAACCATGTTGAGAGTCAATAATCGTGATAGCAGTAATATTGGTCGTAACATTGGTTCATAACATTTTGTTTGTTGTTGTTTTTTGTGGATAGGTTTAAATGAATGCAGTTGTTTGAGAAGGATCCATGTGTTAGTGATTGTAGTATGTCATAATACGGTAGTACATACATGATACTTGCAAAATAGAATAAAGAATGTTAGTGGTTGGATTATCTATGGGGTAAGCATTTATAAAGTCTGGAATATTGTCAAACCTTGTAAATACTTTGTTTTGTTGGGTATAATTTAAAGAATTTTCTTTTCTGTTGTTTCAGTGATGTAGGGGCCTACATAGGCCTACTTGAGGTGACGTTCTTAAAGAAGTTGAGATGTTGTGTTTGGATTATTTTTGGAGTATTTGTTGAAGTTTGTCAGCTGTTTCCAGAAATGTTCGTTGATTACACTGGAAACTTCATTAGATTAATCTTCTATGTTCGTAAACTAGCACAACATTTTCTCTTGTTTTTACAGTTGCAAACATTTCTATTGAACTACGGTCTACATAGCTTTTGTTTTATTTTTAGTTTTAGTTTTTTATATACTCATCGTTAGACATTTGTTTGCCTTTTATTTTATTTTTTATTATTTTTTTTTTTTTTTCCCCTTTCTTTCATGAATGGCTAAGTATTGCTGTTGTAATTTACTAATTGGTTAGAGTAAGAATGTTGTTTCATGAGAATGTGAAGTTTTATTTTTTTTCAAAGGAATTTTATATATTGTTTGTTATCAAAGCTTTGTTGCTTCAAATGTTCTTTGTTTTGTGGTATTGCAGTGTTAAACTACTGTTTTACTGAATCAAAGAAAGTGCTAAGCATTAGGAACATTCGAAACATTAGTCAGAAATTTCATATATCATAGACCATAGTTTACTTACAGTTTACAATAATATGAGTTTGTTTAAGTTGTTTAGGTTGTATTTCTAGTCTCTTTTAAAGTGTTTGTTTTTAATGAGGAGGAACTTGTTTGAAGGATATATGTTCATTATGTTTGCTATGACCTGTATGTGAAGATTATGTAGTGTGGGTTTTGTTTTGGCTAGGAGGATTTTGTTGATCTTTGGAGGATTGTCCAATAGGTGCCTCTATTATTGCATCAAGATTATCGGTGTGTTCTATGTTGATGAGTTTATTGCTTTCATTTTTATGAGTGACACTCGCTGTTAGTATGATATATTACCACAGATTAGAATATGTCTGTATGCTATGATATATGGTATGTTTATACCATTGTTTATCATAAAGTAATGAACACACTTTGACATTTACCCAAGGTTATTTCTAAGTTCTTTAAGAATATTTGAAGATTTCCGTCAGGTGTTCGGTACATCCTTGTTAGGAAAGTGCATTGCTTTAGAATTTCTATTACGTAGCTGTTTGAATTCAGTAACTTCTTTAGAGTCATTGTTATCAGCTAGGAATGGACATATGCATCTATACATATGGCTGAGGATGGTGTGACTGACATTTGGACAGAAGTAACCTAGATAAAAGCCTGGGATTTGTGTAATTTTTATTTAATCCTCTGTAACCAGTGTACAAGTATGCAAAGTGCAATTGTATATTTTAAGCAGTATTTCCTATTTCATTACTGAAAGTTGTGAATCGATCCCAGAAGTTCAGGTATTTATTTTACCTGAAATAGGCAAGCAAAATGGCCTTCATTTTTACTAAAATAGCCATGCAAAAAGGCATTTATTCTTGCTAAAGTAAAGGGTGCATAAAGGCATGGAAACAATAAAAAATCACTATTTCAAATTAATTTTTATTTAAAAATATTATAATTTAACAATTCAAATTTTTATTCTAACTCTAAAATTTATATCAGCCTTTACATGGAAGGAAACAATATTTTCTTTGTAATCTTGATTGCATATGACCACCTGGTATAATAACTAAGAATTTATGTCACTTACAACGCTGTCTGAACAAAATGCTATTGTGGCCTCCTTTTGAATCTTGAAATGGAATTAACGGAAACGCAATTACATTCTTTGCACTTGCGTAAGTGTCAGCACTGAGAAGGGTCACATCTGGTCATATCATACATCATTGACAGAGAGATGTATCCTCAAAAGAGGAGGGCGTAGTCAAAATTTGGAAGGATTTACTCTTGAGCAAACAAACCTGTTGGCAACAATAAAATAAATTGAACATTTGAACTAGTATCATCTTTTCTCTTTTAGAT